ATAAGGAAAATGTAAAAAAAAATATCTTGCAGACAACGCTTACTTTGGCTGAAAAGTATAATTGCTCGTAGTTAATAAAGAAAATGGGAATCAGATATTGTTACATCTTGAAATTATGTGGGGAAAACTAAAAATGGTTATCTTTAAGTCAAGACCTAAATTAGTCACCTAAACAAAGTAACATTAAATTTAGTTAACGTAAACTTTGAGTCAAACGATTGAGATATATTAATCCGTTAGATACACCAAAGTTAGGATCTAAATTAGTAGACTAAGTAATTATCAATTAGTGAGTAGAAACTTTGCGACTTTTTTTTTAATGAAATACATTTTGTGCCATGAAATTATGTCGATCTTTAAAGAAAGTTCTGCGTGCGTGTGTAGTAAATCCGAAATGTAGAACTATTTCTTTCGCGTATGTGTTTATCGAGAGATCGCAAGGATGGCGAGTTGCGTAAGACAGACAGACTTTTTGGAAACGTATTCAGATTTGTGGACTACCTTCGCTCCATTTCGCCATCGTCTTGGGCACTCAGGCAACGCCTCAACCTCTGCGCCATCGTGGAACTGCTCTGAGATCAATTCGAACTTTTTGTTTGAAGACACAAGACCACCGGAGTGCCGATAATAATCGCAGCGACGAGTGAACGACGACCTGCCGACTACCGTATCCGCTTAACGACTAGGTCAGAAAGGATCCACGACGGAGGATCCTTCTCTTTGTTGTCGTCGTCTCTTTTTTTCTTTTCTTTTCCTTTGTATTTCGGGGGGACGACGACTAATGAGAATCAACGGCGGCGGTGGCGACGGCAGCAGAAGCCAACCCGCATGTTCACGTAAACCACTTTCACATTCCGTTCGCGCTCGATGTGTGGAAATATGTGTATTCATTATTTATTTTTATTTGGTCAATTAGATTAGGCGAAAATCGGTTTCGAGAACGAAAAATTCCCATAGATAACAATAGTCCATCTATCTAACGCAAACCGACGTTTCCTATGGATAGTGCATGGAAGAGAACATCTCTCGCATCGGAAATTGACGTGCATTCGAAGCAGCGGAAAAGTTGAAAACGTGCAGATGCTTTCGCAGCCTTGGGGAAATCGAAGCATTGGGGAACGTGGTTATACAACGATCCCACCAAGGTTGACGAAGTTTGAACTTCTCGACGATGCTTCTTTTCCTGATGTTTCTGTTCGAGAATGTTAAAAACTATAATCAATACATTACTAATTCTAATACTATCTAAATAGATCTTATTTAATCGCGATAAAACATAATCAAAAATAGATTATCGCTGCAATCAACATTAATTTGATTCAATTGAAATTGTAGAAACATTTCTGAAAATATTACAGGTAGGAGAAATGTCCACTCGAAAATGGCAATTGAAAACCAATTTGCAGGTTAATTGTATAATTTAAACTCAATTAACAACTCGAAATGTAAATTGCAATTTTACAATTAGGTATTAATGATTCAATAATAATGTTAGAATAGATTTTGTATAGTCATACTAATACATGTTAAGATCTTAAAGAAATGAAGATTATAATTCTAACTTAAATATTATATTTCTAATCCTATATTCAAGTTGAAACTTCCAAAATCTATTTGTTTCTTGCATTATATGAGTTTTCATGTTTCAATTCAAAAATCTTAAATTTCCAATATCTATTGGAAAATAACAAGTTTGATAGATTCATTCTGTTTGTTTATTAATAAATCAATGTTTAACAACGAGTAAAGATTAATTTTTCAATGATATTGCTAGCAAATATTATTGTTTTGTATTCGAGGATGGTTTATAAGAGATACTTGTGACATTTCATATTGGCAGTACTGAACTTTTGAATTGTTGTTGTTGTCCCGCAGGAATTCCAAAGTCATAGCCGTACTTATGCTAATCTTTTTTATTTTGCATGCAGGAGAAGGAGCGGCGTAAACAGATGCAGTGAAATGGAAAAGATAGAAAGAATGAGAGAAAAAAAAAAGGAAATCGAGCGGTCTTTGTGGGTCAAGTAACGTTCGAGCGATAAACGGGCAACTGCACTGGCCCCACGTTATGTAAAGAAAAGAAAAAATAAGTACAAGATGAAAGGAGCATTTTTTGCGGACGTTTCGAACTTACGGCCAAGTGCCTGACCTTCGTCTGCTGCTGGATTCCTCCTCGTCGTTGCAGTCCTCCGCCGAGGTGGACGAGCTTCCGCCACCGCCTGCTCCTCCACTGCCGCCACGACAATTCCTCCGCAGACACTCCAATCTGTACTCGAGCCTGTCTGCCATCCTGCACTGATGCAGGATGGACAGATCGGTGTCGGACCCTACCCACAGGTTATCCATGATCGTCTTCTCCACAGACAAACGAGAGGCAGAAATCTTCCCCCAACACAAACAACAACACTGAACGCACGACGAGGATCACTCCTTCTTCTACTACTCCTCCTCCTCACCTGAGTGAATACTCCAAATAATCGACACTACTTCGCGTCTTCCATCCTTGCGATCGCAACACCTTCTTCGCACGGAGACGACCGACACTGACAGATACGCCGCTTCGAATGACGGACCCCAAGAATCTAGGTTATGGATTTGTTTTGCAGGTCTGCCAACGAAATCGTACGAAAACAACGCACCTGAACAAAAAAAAGTTTGTTTTCGTTCCACGAACGTACCTCGCATTCCATTCGGAAAGGAATATTACATGCTAGAAACTATATAGAGAACCATTGTTATTTGGAACGTGACCAGCATAATGATAATAACTCGAAGTAGCAAAAGGATAATTAATTAGTAACTGACGAAGAGTTTTCTCATTTCGCTTCAAAGAATAAATATCATCTAAACAAAATGTTATGCGATGGCCGGGAATCGAACCCGGATCAACTGCTTGGAAGGCAACTATGCTGACCATTACACCACCATCGCACTTATGATGACTCATCACCGCCATAACTTTTCTATGAGAATTTGGACACCCCTGTTCTTACAATTTACATCCAAATTATATTATTGAAGAAACTAAATTCACAATCGTTACATATTAATATATAATAACCATTAATAAAATATAAAGATGATGAAGAAGATGAATTAAACCAAATTAAATGTATCGTTATGTAAAACCGTTATCACAATTCACATATTTATTTAGGCTATTTGATAACATTGTTTTCTAAAAGGTAACTAAATTTATCACCAATAAATAATATCATTTTAAAGAACGCGCTTATATAATATTCAACAATGTATCTGGACACCCTAAAAGTTTATCAATTTCGTTTCGTCAAAATCTAAGAAAACTATGCAAACCATGGAAATATTTCGTTTTATTGATATTTTCCTACAAGAAGAGATCTTCCTAAATTCTTAAAAAAAATAGTAAGTAACTTATCCATGGGACACGACACTATACTAATCGTAACAAGAGTGAGTAAAAAGTTGCCTAGCTTAACGTTACGCAACTAACATAAAATGATGAAAAAGAAATCATAACAGATATGGCAAAAGTGTAATAATTCATATATCATTTAGTCAATAAATATATGCATGAAATGTATCCACTGGCAAATTAAATTTCAACGTGTTTCGATCAAAAATAATTTGCACTGCCCGGGAATCGAACCCGGATCACAAGAATGGGAGTCTTGCATGATACCACTACACCAGCAGTGCTCGAGTGTCTTGTGAACAAAGATCGATTTATAAACAGCACTCTAGTTTCTGGAAAAGTTTAATAAAAAGACCCTCCCCGGCGGGGAATCGAACCCCGGTCTCCCGCGTGACAGGCGGGGATACTGACCACTATACTACCGAGGACTTATGTAAGTACAAGCGCGTATTTCTGGAATCGCTATGGATACATACACAATTTAATAAATAACAATAAGTTTAGTAAAGTCGAAGAACAAAATTCAATTATTTTTTCAAACTAAGAATTATACAATTCGCTCATAAATGTTCAAACCAAAATAATAATAAGTAAAACGTATCCTTCGAGCCGGATTTGAACCAGCGACCTATGGATAGCCATCTCACACAAATTAAATCTACAGTCCACCGCTCTACCAACTGAGCTATCGAAGGTTATAAGAAATCTAGTTATAACGACTTAAGTACGCTAAATAAACAGTAATGTACAAACAATTAATTTTAACTATATGTCCGCAAAAGAAAATATAAGTTTTACTCTTAATAAGTATTTTATCATAGATGTGTGCTTTAAAAAAAAATTAACCGCCCGAGCAGGGACTTGAACCCTGGACCCTTGGATTAAAAGTCCAATGCTCTACCGACTGAGCTACCCGGGCTCTTATTAAACCACATGCAAACATGGCATGACAACCATTGCCCGTAATAAGTTGTAGCAATAATCAACATTTTTCAATGCAATTATTTCAACACTAATATTAAATTCGTTAATTAGCGTCACGTTCATCTTAAAAACAAAGTAGTTTACCTGAACTTTTTCTCTGCAGCCATGAACTTCTTCAGTGGACCCGGGCTTCCGTTCGGGGTGACCGTGTCGGCTTCCTCGGCCACCATGGCTCTGGCCAATTGCAGATCGCTTTCGTTCATCTCTGAAATTAGAAGAAAAAGTTCGTTAGTAAAGAGAATAATACTGATTTTATAAACTCAAGTGCTTAAGCAATTTACGAGCATCTCCGTATTGATGATCGAAACGCCGTTGCGCAACGATCTTAGTCTTCTCGCAAGATTCCAATTGCTTCACACGCATAATCTCAGGGACGCAACTTAAAGCAAAACATCTTACCGAATTGATTTATAGCGCAAAACGATTTTTAAATACTTAAAATTAAATCTAATAACAAAGAATTCTCTTGGTGTACTAATTAGGAATTATGTTCTTCCCTCGACGCATCAACTAAGACTAAATTCTAATACACAAAAATCTATACATCTCAGAAAGGGGTTGAGTGTAAATGGAATAGCTTTGACTATATTTCTGTCATTTATGATTCCCTACTTAAGTCTAAAACAAATATTTTAAGTGCCGTCGAGTGTTTACATTATAGTCACATAAATATACGATTCAATGTGTAACGTTTGATGGATACGTGACATATGCGTTTTAACAATTTAGAAGAACGAATATACACAAATTCGATACCTAATCTAAGTCACTAATTGGACTGCGCTAAATCAAGGTGATCTTACTTTTTGTAAGATCATTGTTGCAGAGCATTTATGAGTTTGTGGTCGTGGGGGGCTCTGAAATAATCACCGTCTATACACCTTGACCCAAAAAAAAA